AAGAGAGTGGCGGGGGTGGGGCGGCAGGAGCAGCAGCGGCGCCCGGAGAGGGGAAGAAGAGAGAAGGGAAGAGAGAGAGAGAGAGAGAGAGAGAGAGAGAGAGAGAGAGAGAAGGGGAGAGAGGGAGAGAATGGAAGAGAGAGAGAGAAGAGGAGAGAGGAGTGGCGGGAGCGGGGCGGCAGGAGCGGCGGCGGCGGCCAGAGAGGGGAAGAAGAGAGAAAGGAAGAGAGAGAGAGAGAATGGAAGAGAGAGAGAGAGAGAGGGCCGGTGGCGACGGGCAGTGGCGGCAGCGAGGGGAAGAAGAGGTAGAGAGAGAGAAAGCGTCGGGGGAAAATGAAAAGGAATAAGATAGGGTATATTAGATGAGACTTATTTGCGACGACATTATCGTCGCAAATAAGTTTAAATGTCGTCGCAAATAATCATTTTCCCCGCGTTTAGTTTTTTGGCGAAATCTTAAAAAGATTATTTGCGACGACAAAGAGAAAATGTCGTCGCAAATAACATGAAATTATTTGCGACGACATTTATCGTCGTAAATAAATCTAAAATATCGTCGCAAATAATCATTTTTCCCGCATTTGGTTTATGGTGAAATCTTGAAAAGATTATTTGCGACGACAAAGAGAAAATGTCGTCGCAAATAACATGAAATTATTTGTGAGGACAATGTCGTCGCAAATATGTTATTATTTACGACGACTTGTCGTCGTAAAAAATGGATTACCTTGGCGGCAAAAATCCGCGCCATTAAAATTTGCGTTCCAAAATTATTTGCGACGACATTTAAGTTATTAGCGACAACATGATTATTTTATTTAACGGGGAGTAATTGCGACGACATGTCGTCGTAAATATACTATTATTTGCGACGACATTTGTCGTCGTAAAAAATGTCGTCACAAATGGCCTTTTTTGTTGTAGTGTTTTATTTTATTGTAATACATTTTGAGTCAAATGCATTGATACTTGTTTTTATTTTTGCAATTATAATTATGTTCGGTGGCAGCATTTTCTTATTTTCGTGATAAATAACTTTTCCAATTTACAAACTTAATCTTCTCCATTAAAAAATAAAGAAAGAAATAAAAACCTTTAGTCTTCTTCGTAAAGACAACGTAAAGCTTCTGCAAAAAATTTACGAGTATTTCAAGCTAAAGAAGAAAAGAGAGGAACCGAACAAACTCCACGTGCATATGCGGGTTTATTCTCATTCATCAATGATTGAACATCTTGAAAAAGAACACCAAAAAGGCACTTGGATTCCCTTATACATGCATATGCCTGTTGCGGTGGAACATTTATAGATTTACAGCTAATCGATCTGTTACCAAAACAATCGATGTGTGTGCGCCTCATAGTGTGTGTATATATTATGTATAAATACATATATATATATATACATCTATATATATATATATATATCTGTGTGTTTGTTTGTAGATGGAGCCCAGTTACCTAAATATTCTCGAACAATATTTGCGCTTTTTACGTGGCTCCTGATTATGTTGTCTGGCTTCTGAATGACTTGGTCTTAGACTCTCATCCACAGTGCGATAGGAAAATGTGCGCAGGCTATATACTGATGTAGAATAACCATATAATATGACAAAACGACATTTTTACCACTTAATTAATGTCTTATACATTGTAAACAAATTGCTGTATGAGTGCTTCATGTGCACGTATGTAAGCGACAAATGTAACTGTTCAAACAAAAATAATAATAACAATTATAAGAAGAAGAACAATCATATTTGTTGTGTGTATATTTTACTTGATCTACCAAAGTTAGTGCTTTGTGCACTAAAATATTCGGTGGCGGTATATTTAATGGAACGCATATGCATGGGCAAGCTCTGGAACAAATGCCAATTCTATTTGTTTGTCCTCGTTTGTATCGATCGACTTCCTTTTTACATATAATATGCCATGCATGTCTTTCTAAAAAAAATGTATAGTAATAATAATTATAAAAAATACATTATATATATATATAGATATGCCATACTAACATATATGCACGAACCTTCTGTAGCATATATATGTATATCTATACGTATATATATATATATATTTATTGGCGCTCTCATCTCTCAAGTAATAATAGTGCTATTAATAATGAGGATTCAAAAGAGAGATAATTCAATAACTAAGAGAAAAGACATCCTTTAATTAGAAATAAAAAAAATAAAAAAAAAAAGAACTTTGCAGTTGGGTATGAAAAACTACATTTACCCATAGTGTAGTAGCTAGTATGGCTCTATTTTTAACCGACAGATCCTATGTAGAAATGATAATCTGAGCAGATGAGATGAATGTTCTTTCATCTAAATGCCACAGGTTACTCTCCAAAATTGGAGGATATCTAATGCGGCCAAAATGAGCTAGAAGAAATGACTCAAAGGTCTTCGATCAATTACTATTAAAAATATCCGACGACGGGAATCTCAGCGATGATGGAAATTGTGAAGATTAAAGAGTGAGTTGAAAGCATATATAAATAGTTATTAATTGGAGGTTCCCATGGCGTCAAAAGTCAGCAGCCTAGAATATGGAAATATTGTGAAATGCCTTAAAATGCATTCAATTTTCTAGAGACGTGAATCTGTACAAAGACTATGAGTTGCAAACTTGCATTATGAAGACATTTGGATGCCCGAGTTTTCTTTGAAGACTCGTGAGTTTGCTCTTTGTTTGCACTTAAGATTACCTTTTAGAGCTAAAGAGAGCCCAGTAAGTCACGCATTCCACTCCATTACATCAGAGAGTACATCCGCGGGAATACGTGTGGGATTCAGTATTCACATCACCAATAATATTAATTTTGGATTTTAAGGCGTACATAATCGTGCATAGTCTAAAAGTCAACATCCGGATTTTATTTGAGATAAAATCTATCAAAACATGAAAAGAGAAAGTATCCTATTAAAAATATTATAAAATACTTTTAATATATTGACGAATTGAGTAGTCAAGTAACTTACTCTCCGACAAATAATAAAATTAGTTAAGAGAGATGTAATTGTTATATTTATGATAGGTGTGGCTGTAAATAATTAAATAGCAAGATAAAAATAGAAGTGCGTGATAATAAAAATATATCGAAACTCTGTCAGTTCTCTCTCTCCTAATCTTATGTATGTTCTTGAGTTATAGATTTATCGTGGCTGTCTAAATTTTACGTTAATAAACACACACTGTGGGTAATTAAAGACGTGGTGATGATCGTGATCGTAAAGGATTGTGACTTGGAG